ACAAACAATACAGAGGGAGCTTCAAAGCCAAATCTGAGTCTCGTCAATATTGACTGATACTCTAAGCCAGAACTGTGGAATTTTGGTCACTCCAGATATTGTGGTACTACAGATGCATTTGTTTATTAATAAAATGTATACCATTCAGCTGCATTTCAAGCAGTTTACATGACAGCCATGCATCCAGAGTGATATGAGTTGGTATTGCAACAATATTTAAGAATTACAGAAGGCCTGCTCCTGGCTTGAGCTATCTTTTCTTACTAACTAGTGGCCCCGGCAGAAAAAAAAGCCTAGCAATATCAATGAGTAAATAATGTTTATTCAGTTAATGAGCAGAAAAAGTCAATGCTGATGGCAGCTTCACCTATTCAACGTGTATTGTCCATCAGGGTAATCCCCAGGAGGGAGTCAAGAAACGGCAAGGTGAGAATCTCTACCTCATAATCAAAACCCTGTCCTTTTTTTTACATGGCAGTAATAATTACATGGGTGATTATTGTTAATATTCAAGAATAATCCAAAGCTAAGAGAGCAACACACCACCCCAGAGAACAATCTTCAGAAGATTTTAACAGGGTTGTTTCCTTGTTCCAAAGTGGCCCAGTATAGACCACATTTTGTTCCAGGATACTTTCCTTTTACTGCTCTTTGCAGAGACAGCAGGTTTTTTTTTACATAATTCCTTCAGAAATGCTCTCCCCTGCAAAAAAAATTGAAGTGATTACAGCTCTCTTTATATTCCAACCACTGATAGACATTTGATCGCTGTAGCACCGTAAGCATTAGTGCCGTTGGGATGAATCCTGAATTTTATTCAGCTGGAAGAACAGCTCACACTGGGAGAAAAAGGGCAGGAGACTATATATTGGTTGAGTTTCCTCCTTCCTTTTCAACGTAGGACAGCCCCTTCCTCATTTCCCAAGGAATCCTCTCTCCATGAGGGACACCCAGAAGACTGCAAAGCACATTAAAAGTAGATTATCGTCTCTCTCAAACAGCAGGAAATCTCTGCCACATCAAAAGCCTTCTGCTGACTAAAGAAATTTTCCCATCTCCTGAAGGATTTTGCAAGTTACAAATTACTGATTTTTTTTAAAAAAATTGATTGATTGCTTATTTCTTGTGTTTTCTGTAGTCTCGTGGTGCCGGAGTTTAGCTTCTGCTGCAGCACAAAACAACAACAACGCCAAATAAACCACACAGCAGCCAAACTATATTTTCATACTGCCGATTTTGGCGCTTTTGAAAGCTTCCTAAGGAAATTGGGATGATCCTGTCTTATGCCTCTGGTGCTACGTTGTTTGTATCACTGTGGTGGTGTGGCCTTTTTGAGTCACCAAGAGGAAGAAAAAAAAAAGGGGGGGGGGGTTCTTGTGATGTCCATGTCAATGTGCAAAGTCACTTTCAAAGGCAGTCCTTAGGGGTTGAGAACCTGATACGAATGTCTGTAGGCTGAAAAAACAGCGTCTCTGTCCTAAAAGCACCTCTAAATCATTCTGAAATGATACCTAATTTAAAAGAAGTCTCTGGGCTGACAGAAAAAGCAAATGCAAAGAAAACATTTGTATTATAATTTTCCAGTGGATTTCAGACCGTGATTTAAAAAGATGAGTTTGAATATGAAATTTAAAAGCAGTTTTTTAAAAAACAAAACAAAAACAGCTTTTTTTCTCCTCACATGATTTTGTCTTTTCATTTCCTCACTGCTAGAATGCAAGCAGAACTCTCTTGAATAATTTCTGTTGGAACCAGAGAGGAAGCATTTTATTCTCTCAGATGCAACCCCCCATAAATACTGTTCTTTTGCTGGCAATTAACATTAGGAAAAGAGGTTGCCCTTTTTTTTAATGCCTATTACAGGTAGTCCTCGATTTACAACAGTTCATTTAGTGACCGTTCAAAGTTGCAAAGGCACTGAAAAAAGTGACCGATGACCGTTTTTCACACTTACGACCACTGCAGCCTCCCAATGGTCACATGATCAAAATTCAGATGCTTAGCAACTGGCTCATATTTATGACGGTTGCAACGTCCTGCGGTCACGTGTTCAGATTTTGTGACCTTCTGACAAGCAAAGCCAATGGGGAAGCCAGATTCACTTAACAGCCGTGTTACTAACTTAACAAATGCAATGATTCACTTAACACCTGTGGCAGGAAAAGTGGTAAAATGGGGCAAAACTCACTTAAGAAATGTTTCACTTAGCAAATTAATTTTGGGCTCGATTGTTGTCGTAACTCGAGGACTAGCTGTATCACTGAAGGGCAAGCTTTTCATTACAACATAGCTTGAGAGTCAAGGGTTTCCTTTCTGCTTTCCTCACTTTATAATTTCAATTGAAATAAACAGGGTTTTTTTAAATCTGTATGCAGTTGCTAATTGCTCTTAATAAGCTGAGCTTTCTTTTGGCTAATTGACTATAGATAGCTGTTTAAAATCAACCCATATTATTAAGAAGAAGGGAGTCTCTCCTGGCCTCTTTTATGACTGGGAAAGC